CAAATCGAATGTGCATGTTTTACATTATTGTGACACTTGCGAAATCTCCAGTCCATCGAAGGATGGATAAACCTTCATTGCACAGTGGATTCCTCAAGGTATTTGATGGAGAAGTCTTCTCGCTAAAGGGAAACAGTAAATGATTCGTGTAGCTCAGGGGTAAGAGTGCTAACTCTCAACGCGAAGGTTCACGATTTCAGTCCTGACAGGAACACAAAAAGTGCGCACCCCTGACAAATCCCAAAGAGAACCAGCCGTCGTATTGTTTGTCGGTCATCACAAAGATTTCTGTCTGATTTGAATGCGTTTGACTGGTGAAGAAGCAACGATCTGCCAAAGAGTGAAACACACCCAAGATCATTAAATGGCTGGTGTCTGTGAGCAACCAAGAAGGTTAATCCACATATTCGTCATTTTTAAAAATGCCAATTTGGGGTAGAGTTTTGGATCAAAGATAGGATGTACGATACGGAATGAAGTAAACATCGTGCTCATTAAATTATCAAGATAGGTTTTTCTCATGAGCAGGAAGAATAGAAACCGAAATACCAAATAACAGCGATGTTAGTACACTTAAAATAACCTACGTCATACCATTTCCAAGCCATCACAGCAAGACTCCATCTTAGTGTGGTGTGACAACTTGTTTTTCTAGGTTCCTTCAAGCTAAAAAGGATGGCTTCTCATAGCCGCAAATCTAATCATACCTGCAAGGTCAACTGACAGAGGTCAGACAAAGCTCAAACTGTAAAGGATGATTGATTAGGTAAAGCATGACTTTCTTTGAGCCCCTGCACACACTTGGACCTAGAAGAGCTCACACCGGCAAATTAAACCATTGGGCGGAACCGTCTATCGGTCATATGACCCCACTTGACGAACATAGGATCTTCCTTCTGACAATGAGAGAAGTCATTTTGCATCCATGCAAGGCTCCCGCCCATCCAAACTGTGCATTACCCAGTGAATACGGTGCTGTCTCCTCCACGTTCCGCCTATCCCACTGGGTCGATGGGGTTACGAGTCAACGAAGAACGGCGAACTCAGAACCAACGGTGAACAACACGATAAACCGAAAGGCCTTGCAAAACATGTTCCTGGGAGCTCTCCCACTACACTTTCAGCCGCACACTCCGACTGTGATTTACGCCCAACTTCCGCTTAGGTTAGACCACTGAATCGAATATCCGGTCAGGGCTCCTAAATAAAAAAACCTTTATCGATGTGGATCACCGCGGAGTATGCCGTGCGCTAGGTATTGAGAAACAATTTGAAAAGCCCTGCTTTCCATTCGACTATTTCTTCCTCTCTACCCGTAGATAGGGCCCAGGCTGTGTTACAAACCAGATGCTCCCCGCACCAAAGCTGCCGGCAACGGATACCCACAGTATAATGTAGGCGACAGCTGCAAATCGACCTTCGAGGTAGCGCGTTTTAGTTTGATTACCAGCTGAAGAACTCGATGAAACCAGAAGCCAATCAGGGTCAGTCAGATGTTAAACAGAACAATCACGGATCGTGATAGAAGATCGAAGCATAAACGATGAGTCTCCTATTAAACACACAAATCGCAGTTACAGTTGTGCAATGAGTGCAACACCATTTTGCGCGCAGATAATTCCCACATGTATGTGAAAAAATGTGATACATTCGTTGTTTAATCGGCAAACTGGATAAATGTGTAACTTCGGGACTACGTGTTTCAGGATTGGTATGCCTCATCCACCCCCACCCNCCCCCACCAAAAAAAACAGAACGGAAAAACGAGAAACTGAAATGAAGTAAAAGAATGCTGATTGTGGTACCATGTGCATAGCACAAGTAGGATGACATATTCAATGGATAAGAGATAACAAAGCCACTGATGACATAATGGAGATAATGTGGGAAAATAGGTCAGCAACTGGTTTGTGGTTCAAAAACGGCAGGAGGTGGTGTGTAATGCACAATATTATTATTCACAAATTCATGCAGAAGCATAATGAAAAACATAACTGGAGAGAAAACCACTAAATGAAAATACGGTGAATCAATTGATATATGACCTTGAAATGGAACGAATAAGTGGATCTAAGTCGGTCTATCGGTGGGATGAAAAAACGAAAGGCAGAAGTGGAACAGATAGAAGGGACATGCTGTAAAAGAGGAACGCATGAATTCTTGTTCGATGAACATCCGATTACGGATCGGTCGCTAAATGACGTTGATTAAGATCACGATTAAAACAACGGAGGGAGAATTGAATAAAATTAACAGCAGTATAGATTAGAGTAAGCTGTCCGTATGAGTGGAACATTTAGAATAGAGTGCCAAGGCAGAAATGAACACAAAATAAAATAGGACATCGTCCCTTCTCTTGGTTGTTGTTGTTAAGAGGGAGTCAATGGTGACCGGGGTGGGGAAATTAGGATTTGGCAATCCATTTGCAAACAATTATCCCCAATAGGTATGACGAAACAAAAGTGACTAGATAAAGGGATGGCGAAAAAAAAGAATTTTAGCGGCAAATGGGTCTAAAAGAACGGGGATTCGTACAAGCTAAGTAAAGGAGAAAAAATCACAAATAAGAATTATAAATGCGATCAAAGATTCACTAACTGTAGTCAGATGAATGCGTACTGCTAAGAGAACCAGATAATCGTATCCTCGAGGCGTATGTCAGTCAGGGCCAATGAGACAAAGGTAACCACGGCGATACCATTCATGATAGCACGTATTATATCTCACATTCAGATAATCTGTGAATGTTCACATTAGACTGATAGAACTTTTATATCGGGAGTTTTGATGGGCGACGATCGGCAGGCGCATACACTGAAAAAAAGAACGGAAATCAGAGACATCATGGAAGTATTTCAAGTGTGACAAGAAGTGAACGAATGAACGGATTCGAGGACAATGTTATTTTCTCCAGATTAATACCAGTAATAATATTTTTTGGAATTATCACAGCTATTAGAAACGGAACATTTGTAGGGTAGACGTGGTTGGTAATGACGTGAGCGATTAACTTGCTCAATTTGGTCATCACGACAACAACATCCAACATAGGTGAAAAAATACCCCCAAGATTTCTCAAATTTATAACGTGAAGCGAATGAACAAAAAGCTCCGCTTGGAGATTGAGAAAACCAGGATCTCTGCGAATACCTTATACGCAAATACACACAAACACAATAACCAATGACTGCAAGATTCAGAGGAGGAGGACAGTACGAGGAACAGTGCGTGCTACAAACTGCTGTGTTACTGACCCGAGAAAATCAATCGTGGGCAATGGTGGTGTCAGCCAAGTTCAGACACCCCTGGTGCCACCTATAGATTCAGCTGTCCGTGAAGTGCCGAGTGTCAGCTGCATGTGTCTGGCTGGCTCTCTCGTATTTCGCAGACCTGGCCGTTACGGGAACTATCGGCGTTCGCACAGTGCTGTCTACGCCTTATTGCACGAGTCTGTTGGGGTAAACGGACCAGGACTGATGAGGTTAGGTGTAGAGTTTTACGCGGTTGCGATCGTCCGCTTAAGCATATGCTCAAATTTCTTAGATTAGGCTGGTTGATGCACGTGGTACACATGCCGCCTGATTGTTTCCCTCGACGTGGTTTTTTTCGAGGTATGCAGCCGACGGAAGTAGACCAACAGGGATTAGAATGCGACTTCAAATCGGGGTTTAAAACCACGACGAATTCTCTCGTTCATACGGGTTGCTTTAGACTTCCTCGTTGGGGATGTGGCAGCCAACACGGACAACAGTTTTAAACACCAGATGACAGGACTGTTTCGAGAACAATGGCGGTTGTGAATTTCACTTTCCACGCA